CGGCGACGAGGAGAGAAAGCACTACCTGTGATGCATAATTAGGGTCAGATATTGCAGTAGCTCACGAATGTTAGAGTTTCATGGCTTAACTCGAGTGCCAATTGTGGACCGTGCTTGTACTTACGAATTTCATTTTGAATGACTTGTATCTTACTGATGTGGTCGAAGACCCACTGCTTTTATATCTAGATTTCGGCGACCACGAGTTGCCAGTTTATTTGTATTTTTCCGTATTTTTAAACATTCACTTGTAATTTTCATAATTCCTTCGACTTTAGATAATACGTCTGCACGGAAATATGCTCGATAACCAGTTCCGTTATCTCAATGAAAATATTCATGATAAAATGTATAAAATCGTGCCCCGGATGGAAGCATCAAAGTTTTGTCGTCATTGTAAGCTATCGTAAGACATTCTGAGGTGATTGTTAGTTCAAGGTCGAGAACAAGACATATCCTTCACATAGACCAGATTCTAATCTTAAACCTCCGAATCCTAAAAATTGAAAATGATATGATCATTAAAATCTTTACATGAAGAAATATGTACGTACATTTCGTAGAATAAATCCGTTATATAGTCAAATCAACCATGGCTATAACAATGTTTTAGCCTGATAGCTAAAACTTACTCGTAAATTTATATATAATGAAAGACGTTTGAAAATAATAATCATAATAAACGTATTTTGAATATGTCTAGCATATAATTTTTTTTTTTTTTATTCATTTGGATTTGTTCTTCGGCTTTATAGTGTAGATAAATTGAAGTTAATGTTCAGAATGTGAGAAGGTTTTAGTTGCTTTAGGTAAAATATATCGTAAAATATTTTTGATCGTATATTAATACCCCTTGATATACATTTTATCAACCTGTGCCAAAATGTATTCCAGCAACTGGCTCGAACATGCCGTGTAGTCTCTCAACATAAAATTAATCGACACAAACACAAACACAGTAACGTGAACACACAAATGAAAGGAAAACTGACACAGTAAGAAACGAATATGAAATGTAACGTTTCGAACTCTTCACGAGTACCTCTTCAGACAATTGAAAAACCAAAAGTGGATGATCCACTTTTGGTTTTTCAGTTGTCTGAAGAGGAACTCGTGAAGAGTTCGAACCGTTCAATTTCATTTTCGTTTCTTACTGTGGCAGTTTTCCTTTCATAAAATTAATCATTTAAGGGAATTCCCTCATTGTGGAAAAGTGATTATTATAATAATTATTATAAAGATTCAGTTATATCAATGTCACTATATTTTCAACTGGACTGAAATTTTACTATATTTACTGAGTATCTCTGTTGTTTTACTTATTTCATATGGAAGTAAAATAACGAAAATAATAGCAAGTTGTCTTCGTCTTTTTAAAAATACTACATGTCCGTATATATAATAATGCGCGCGCGCGCACATACACACAGATATGTGTATGTGTGTGACAGTGTGTGCGTGTGCCCACGTGCATTGGAATATATACATATATATTTATTCACTCATATATTTGACGAAAAGTAGACAAAGAAGTAAGGGGAACACTGGCCACTTTCATACTGACAATTCAGCTCTTGTTGTCTTCCCGACTGCTATACTCCTGTCTAAATTTCCTCCAAGTATTGCCCTCAGTTTACAAATTCAAAAGGAATATAGACTCTCTCGCAGAGTAACAGTTTGGTGTTTCTTTTGTTCTGTAAAGTATTTTCTTCTCCATTATACACAAGTTCTAGTTTGTAATCCGCGATCATTTATTCGTGTGTAAACCCATACGTATATATAATTACATATGACATTGTAGTAGGCTTCCATATCTTATTAGTAGTTTCGTTGATTTGCAAAATAAGAAGGTTGAATTTAATATGAGATTTATTTGTGAAACAATAAATAGGAGATGGTCTGCATTAGCAGATGCTATGTAAGCTTATAATGTGAACATAAATAGAAAAAAATCGGTGGTGAAAGAAACATTTGCTTAATGTGTTCAGTCATCAAGAGGAGCACCATAGGAGCGGGAGACTTCTCCACGGGCATTGCGAGCGTCCTCCTCAGCGGCGAAGGCGATCTGGTCGAGGACGAACTGAGGGATCGGGTGGGGGAACTCGGGGGCCACTGGCAGGTGGGCGCCCTGTGGCTGGAAGCCGCCCTCGTCAGCTACGTACTGAAGGTGGACCTCAGTGCCGTCAGGAGCGGTGTACCTGTTAACAAAATCATGCAATGAGAAACCTCTATGTAATGTGACCTGTTTAAAGATCATGCCTTTGTCTATTCTTGACATTCCTATAGTTTAGGTAGTGCAGTGTAACAATACTTATGATATTTTACAGACTGGTCGATAGCTATGAAGAACATACTGCATATATATGATTCGTGTGGGTATATTCATGTATTTGTGTATTCTAATGCAGGCAACTTATTACTACGTACGAGAAGGATCCGGCACTGTTGATGGCTCCCTCGTCTCCTGTAGGAGAGCCAGACTCAGACATGACGATTCCGTTGGCAGTCTCCATGTCGAAGTTGTACCTTCCGTCGTCCTCGATCACGCGGTCGTCCCTCAAGATGGCGATCTCGTCGGAGGCAGCACGAGCCGCTGGGGCATCATACAGCCGGTCGGCACAGGCCACGGCGATAAGGAGGGAAAGCACTACCTGTGATACATAATTAGGGTCAGATATTGCTAGAGCTTACGAGTGCCTGCATTTCAAGGCTTAACTTGAGTGTGTCAGTTGTGTACCCTACTTGTACTTACGAATTTCATTTTGATCGAGTTGTAACTAACTGATGCTGTGGTCGGAGATTGTCAGCATTTATATCCAGGGTCCAGCTACTTTGAGTTGCCAGTTTATTTTATTCTGTATTTTTAAACATTCACTTGCATTTTCGGGTAATCCTTCGATTTTTGAATAATACGATTGCATAAAAGTACGCTAAATAAGTAATATCATAGAGATGAAGAAAAATAATTATAAAGATAAAGAATACACGAATTCGTACCCTAAAAGGAAGGTACACAAGTTTGTCTCCGTTGAAGCCGGTCATTTGACATTCTGAAGTGATTATTGGTTCAAGGTCGTGAACGAGATTTATTCTTAACGTTAGCGTACGCTGGATTTAAAGTTGAAACCTGCAGTTCACTGGCTTCGAATCCTTAATTATGAAAATCAATTTTATAAGTAATATTAAAAACTGTTTTTTTCTTTTTTACCATTAGCACTAGCCCTGGGTTGCATGAAAATTATAAGCTTATCTATTCAGGACGAAAAAATATATATGTACACCTGAATACCATTATATAGTCACATAGTCATGGACATAACATTATATTTGTCATATGGTTAACTTAATATTTGCAAGTATAAGCTTAAACAAAAGAATTGCTTAAAAACAGTATCTTTCATAATTCCAGAATTAATCAATTAGTCATTTGTTTTATTTTGTTTATTTCTTGTCTGTCATAGTTGTATTAATTGGTCAGTACTTTTCCAAAGAGCAAAGCATTTTCACTTCCCATACACTATAAATATGATTAAATCAATGGTTTCGTAATGTATTCAAGATGACCTGCTTAAAACTGGTGAGAATAGAAAAAACTGGGTTATCCTGGATAGAAGATTATAATTAAACAGAATTCTATATCTAAAAATAAATAATAACAATCATAAAAATGCTTTTTATTCAACGATGTAAGAGGACATTATAGCAGTTCACTTAAATAAGTCTTTCTTAGACTTATGGGTTCTAAAACTTATGGACCTAGTGAAAATAGTATTTTTTTATGTCATATTAACAAATTCAAATTGATTCTTTCACTAAATGAAATGAAATGATTCTTCTTAGTCTCTCCAATGAGGCAGACTACATTTATATTGAGTTCAAGTGAAATATGTATAATGATTTCATAGCCACAAGATCTTTATACCATTAAAGCTGAAAACAATGTCAAGATATTGTTGTATTTTTCATGAAAAAAGCAACACATCTGTACCTTTTCCATGTTCAATATATGTCTGTGCCTCTGTTGTATATATGTATACGTCAATGAGTATATACATACACATGCATATATATATATATATATATATATATATATATATATATATATATATGCATGTACATGTACACACGCACGCACGCACACACATACACACACATACACATACACACACACACACATATAAATATGTATGTTTACACAATCATATACATATATATACACAATTATTTATATATAAGTATATACATATTGCGTGTGTGCGTGTAGACACAGTTATACACACAAATATATATACATATATATATATAATTGTATTTGTGTGTCTCTCTATATACATATATGTATATATAATTGCGTGGGTCGATATATATACATGTATATACATACATATGCATGTATATATGTATATATATACACATATATGTGTATATATATACATATATACACATATATATACACTCACACACACACACACACACACACACACACACATATATATATATATATATATATATATATATATATATATATATATATATTAATATATATATATACATATTTATTTATTCATATATATGAATATATATGTATATATACACACAATTATAAATAAATATATATACATATATATACAAACACACAATTTGGGTAAATACGAGTATATATATATTGTATATATACATACATGTACATACATATATAACATACATATTTTTTTTATTTTGATTTATCAAACACAGATGTATACATATAAATAGATATAGATATGTGTATGTATAGAATATACACGCGCGTACACGCACACACTTAAATAAGTATGTGTATGTATATGTATACATGTGTGTGTACGTATGATACATAAACATTTATATGCATATATATTCACACACCCTCATGTGTGTATAAGCGTATGTATATAAAGTTATGCATGACATATTTGAATGTACAACATGGATGTGTATTACATCTGTAGTTTAGCAGTGAATCAAATTAAAAGGCTTGATTTGGTATGAGATTTATTTGTGCAACAATAAATAGGAGATAGTCTGCATCAGCAGATGATATAATATCAGTATATAATGTAAATATAAATAGTAAATCAGCGGTGGAGAGTTATTCGACTAACACAGTTTAGTCATCAAGAGGAGCACCATAGGAGCGGGAGACTTCTCCACGGGCATTGCGAGCGTCCTCCTCAGCAGCGAAGGCGATCTGGTCGAGGACGAACTGAGGGATCGGGTGGGGGAACTCGGGGGCCACGGGCAGGTGGTCACCTTGTGGCTGGAAGCCGTTCTCGTCAGCTACGTACTGAAGGTGGATGTCAGTACCGTCAGGAGCGGTGTATCTGTCAACAAAACCATTCGAAAATGAACCTCTAAATAATGTAACCTCCTTATACATCATTTTTACTCTATGGAATTCCTATAATACTATGGTATCATACAGGTAGATAGATACGAAGGATATGTGTGTGTATGTGATTGTATACAGATGTATCCGTGTAAATGGGTTTGTGAGACTGTGATTCATGTATTTGTGTATTCTAATGCAGGCAACTTATTACTACGTACGAGAAGGATCCGGCACTGTTGATGGCTCCCTCGTCTCCTGTAGGAGAGCCAGACTCAGACATGACGATTCCGTTGGCAGTCTCCATGTCGAAGTTGTACCTTCCGTCGTCCTCGATCACGCGGTCGTCCCTCAAGATGGCGATCTCGTCGGAGGCAGCACGAGCCGCTGGGGCATCATACAGCCGGTCGGCACAGGCCACGGCGATAAGGAGGGAAAGCACTACCTGTGATACATAATTAGGGTCAGATATTGCTAGAGCTTACGAGTGCCTGCATTTCAAGGCTTAACTTGAGTGTGTCAGTTGTGTACCCTACTTGTACTTACGAATTTTCATTTTGATCGAGTTGTAACTAACTGATGCTGTGGTCGGAGATTGTCAGCATTTATATCCAGGGTCCAGCTACTTTGAGTTGCCAGTTTATTTTATTCTGTATTTTTAAACATTCACTTGCATTTTCGGGTAATCCTTCGATTTTTGAATAATACGATTGCATAAAAGTACGCTAAATAAGTAATATCATAGAGATGAAGAAAAATTATTATAAAGATTCAGTTATATCAATGTCACTATATTTTCAACTGGACTGAAATTTTACTATATTTACTGAGTATCTCTGTTGTTTTACTTATTTCATATGGAAGTAAAATAACGAAAATAATAGCAAGTTGTCTTCGTCTTTTTAAAAATACTACATGTCCGTATATATAATAATGCGCGCGCGGCGCACATACACACAGATATGTGTATGTGTGTGACAGTGTGTGCGTGTGCCCACGTGCATTGGAATATATACATATATTTATTCACTCATATATTTGACGAAAAGTAGACAAGAAGTAAGGGGAACACTGGCCACTTTCGTACTGACAATTCAGCTCTTGTTGTCTTCCCGACTGCTATACTCCTGTCTAAATTTCCTCCAAGTATTGCCCTCAGTTTACAAATTCAAAAGGAATATAGACTCTCTCGCAGAGTAACAGTTTGGTGTTTCTTTTGTTCTGTAAAGTATTTTCTTCTCCATTATACACAAGTTCTAGTTTGTAATCCGCGATCATTTATTCGTGTGTAAACCCATACGTATATATAATTACATATGACATTGTAGTAGGCTTCCATATCTTATTTGTAGTTTCGTTGATTTGCAAAATAAGAAGGTTGAATTTAATATGAGATTTATTTGTGAAACAATAAATAGGAGATGGTCTGCATTAGCAGATGCTATGTAAGCTTATAATGTGAACATAAATAGAAAAAAATCGGTGGTGAAAGAAACATTTGCTTAATGTGTTCAGTCATCAAGAGGAGCACCATAGGAGCGGGAGACTTCTCCACGGGCATTGCGAGCGTCCTCCTCAGCGGCGAAGGCGATCTGCTCGAGGACGAACTGAGGGATCGGGTGGGGGAACTCGGGGCCACTGGCAGGTGGGCGCCCTGTGGCTGGAAGCCGCCCTCGTCAGCTACGTACTGAAGGTGGACCTCAGTGCCGTCAGGAGCGGTGTACCTGTTAACAAAATCATGCAATGAGAAACCTCTATGTAATGTGACCTGTTTAAAGATCATGCCTTTGTCTATTCTTGACATTCTATAGTTTAGGTAGTGCAGTGTAACAATACTTATGATATTTTACAGACTGGTCGATAGCTATGAAGAACATACTGCATATATAGGATTTGTGAGACTGTGCAATATGTTTGTGTCTATATTTGTGTAATGTACTACGTATTGCCACGTACGAGAAGGATCCGGCACTGTTGATGGCTCCCTCGTCTCCTGTAGGAGAGCCAGACTCAGACATGACGATTCCGTTGGCAGTCTCCATGTCGAAGTTGTACCTTCCGTCGTCCTCGATCACGCGGTCGTCCCTCAAGATGGCGATCTCGTCGGAGGCAGCACGAGCCGCTGGGGCATCGTACAGCCGGTCGGCACAGGCCACGGCGACGAGGAGGGAAAGCACTACCTGTAATGCACAATTTGGCTGTAGTTCACAAGTGTCTAGATTTATTAGATGTAACTCGAGTGTGCCGATTGTACACAGTTCTTGTACTTACGAATTTCATTTTGAGAGAGTTGTATCTTACTGATGCTCTAGTAGAAGACCGACAGCATTTATACCAAAGTTTCAGGGATCTTGAGTTACTAGTTCGCATTTTTTTCGTACAATTTTAGATTTTACATGCATTTTCAAACAAAACCTCCGATTTTTAGAATGACTGTTAAATAATGTGGTTGTGGTATTATAAACATGAAAAATAAGAATACTATAGATGAATTTGTAGCCTGAAATGAAGCTACACAGGTTTGTCGTCACAGTAGCCGGTAATATAACATTCTGAATTGATTATTGGTTCAAGGTCGAGAACAAGATTATTCTTAAGACAAGTGTACACTAGTTTCTAATCCTAAACCTATAGTTCATTGACTTCGAGAACTCTAAGGACTAAATTCCATTTTGTACTATACATGCTAATTAGGGAATGAAGCAATAATATATATGTGTGTGTGCGGGTGTGTATGTGTATGTATATGTATATGTATATGTATATATATACACATATATGTGTATATATATACATATATGTATATATATACACATATATATACACTCACACACACACACACCACACACACACACACACATATATATATATATATCTATATATATATATATATATATATATATATATATATATATATATTAATATATATATATACATATTTATTTATTCATATATATGAATATATATGTATATATACACACAATTATAAATAAATATATATACATATATATACAAACACACAATTTGGGTAAATACGAGTATATATATATTGTATATATACATACATGTACATACATATACATACATATTTTTTTTATTTTGATTTATCAAACACAGATGTATACATATAAATAGATATAGATATGTGTATGTATAGAATATACACGCGCGTACACGCACACACTTAAATAAGTATGTGTATGTATATGTATACATGTGTGTGTACGTATGATACATAAACATTTATATGCATATATATTCACACACCCTCATGTGTGTATAAGCGTATGTATATAAAGTTATGCATGACATATTTGAATGTACAACATGGATGTGTATTACATCTGTAGTTTAGCAGTGAATCAAATTAAAAGGCTTGATTTGGTATGAGATTTATTTGTGCAACAATAAATAGGAGATAGTCTGCATCAGCAGATGATATAATATCAGTATATAATGTAAATATAAATAGTAAATCAGCGGTGGAGAGTTATTCGACTAACACAGTTTAGTCATCAAGAGGAGCACCATAGGAGCGGGAGACTTCTCCACGGGCATTGCGAGCGTCCTCCTCAGCAGCGAAGGCGATCTGGTCGAGGACGAACTGAGGGATCGGGTGGGGGAACTCGGGGGCCACGGGCAGGTGGTCACCTTGTGGCTGGAAGCCGTTCTCGTCAGCTACGTACTGAAGGTGGATGTCAGTACCGTCAGGAGCGGTGTATCTGTCAACAAAACCATTCGAAAATGAACCTCTAAATAATGTAACCTCCTTATACATCATTTTTACTCTATGGAATTCCTATAATACTATGGTATCATACAGGTAGATAGATACGAAGGATATGTGTGTGTATGTGATTGTATACAGATGTATCCGTGTAAATGGGTTTGTGAGACTGTGCAATATGTTTGTGTCTATATTTGTGTAATGTACTACGTATTGCCACGTACGAGAAGGATCCGGCACTGTTGATGGCTCCCTCTTCTCCTGTAGGAGAGCCAGACTCAGACATGACGATTCCGTTGGCAGTCTCCATGTCGAAGTTGTACCTTCCGTCGTCCTCGATCACGCGGTCGTCCCTCAAGATGGCGATCTCGTCGGAGGCAGCACGAGCCGCTGGGGCATCGTACAGCCGGTCGGCACAGGCCACGGCGACGAGGAGGGAAAGCACTACCTGTAATGCACAATTTGGCTGTAGTTCACAAGTGTCTAGATTTATTAGATGTAACTCGAGTGTGCCGATTGTACACAGTTCTTGTACTTACGAATTTCATTTTGAGTGAGTTGTATCTTACTGATGCTCTAGTAGAAGACCGACAGCATTTATACCAAAGTTTCAGGGATCTTGAGTTACTAGTTCGCATTTTTTTCGTACAATTTTAGATTTTACATGCATTTTCAAACAAACCTCCGATTTTTAGAATGACTGTTAAATAATGTGGTTGTGGTATTATAAACATGAAAAATAAGAATACTATAGATGAATTTGTAGCCTGAAATGAAGCTACACAGGTTTGTCGTCACAGTAGCCGGTAATATAACATTCTGAATTGATTATTGGTTCAAGGTCGAGAACAAGATTTATTCTTAAGACAAGTGTACACTAGTTTCTAATCCTAAACCTATAGTTCATTGACTTCGAGAACTCTAAGGACTAAATTCCATTTTGTACTATACATGCTAATTAGGGAATGAAGCAATAATATATATGTGTGTGTGCGGGTGTGTATGTGTATGTATATGTATATGTATATGTGTATATATATATATGTATATCTATATTTATGTATATGTATATATACACATGTATAGATATATACATTTGTTTGTGTGTATGTATATATATGTATGCATATGTATGTATCTATATATGTATTTATAGTTTTTAAATTGTGGGTTTTTCTACCATTGTATCAACACGGTAGAGTGTTTTCATTATTCATCTGTATATATATATATATTACACAAAACAGAAAAAATAATTGTCATTCAGTCATGTACAACATGGATATACTACTTTTTGCATGTGCGAATTTAAGCTTAAGTAAAGGCAATCTTATTATTGTTTGTCTCTTGAGTAATTACACACACACAGACGTGTGTGTGTGTGTATATATATATATATACATATATGTATATATATATACATATACATATATATATATACATATACATATAAGTATACATATACATATATATATATATATATATATATATATATATATATATATATATATATATATTAGCTTTATATTTTCCTACTTTGTTGACCATGCTCTCTGTCCAAAACTTAGTCCCAAATAGTGACACGACATCGCAATAAATATCAGATGATGTGTGTAATATGATCATATTACACACACACACACACACACACACACATATATATATATATATATATATATATATATATATATATATATACATATATACATATATACTTATATATACATATATATATACATATATATATATATATATATATATATATATATATATATATATATATGTATGTATGTATGTGTGTGTAAATAATTACGTTTTGTTCATGCACGTGAGTTATCTGAAGTATGGAATTATATTGTTAACAAAAAGGCTGCATCAAACTATTTCTCATCTATTGCTTCTTACTTTTGAAATACCCATTATCTATCGCTCGAAAATATATATCAGCAGATCTATAAAGTAAAACAAATTTTCACATCCTTACATACGCAGGTGAAAGTAAAAGGCAGAATGATGACGCAATGCCTTGTTGTGCAACCGAATTGGAGTCATTTATGGTTTCCTTGGGAAAAGGGTTCAACTTTATTAATAGCATTTAGGAACGTTAACCCATTCACGCCGGGTGTCCCATATATGTGACGGGCCCACTGTGAGTTTACTTGTTTAATTGTTTTTACACATAGATGGCTGCACTTGTACTTGTACTGCCTGTCTCGCCTGTTTACCCTTTTCTTTAATTTACGAAAATATTATACTTTATCTTACTTTGCTGTTACTAACATTATAGTAATTATAATGTTTATAATAAAAATAACCATCGATATTCATTGTACTAGTAAAAATACATTTTCCCGCCAAATGAAATCAGGTAAGGCAGAGCCATCTAGTGTAGAAAATTTTCATAAAAAGTATAAGAAATGAGCACAGAATTTTCCCCCGTTTTTTGTTCATTTTTACCCGGCGCGAATGGGTTAAACTAATATTTTTCAACTTAGTATAAATTAAGATATTTTCCATTATTTTTCTTTATTTATTTATTTTGTTCTTTGTGTCTTTTTTTTCTTCTTTCTTTTCATAAAATGTACTACTTCTGGCAATTCTTCCAAAATTGATATCACATCCCAAACTTTATATGGGAGATAGCGTAAAGAGAGTAATACAATGAAATATATATCTTTTTTGTAAAAATTAAATATATTTACCATATATTCTGTTTATTTTCAAATGATCTTAGGATGTATTTCCTGTCTTAATTTCTTTGTCACAAGCAATACAGAAACACTAAGGCATACGTACATGTTTATATCTAAATTACTTTAAAATAATTATGGCAAGTTATGTAAGAATTTTGCTAACAGAATATAGCTTCATGATAATGGTAAAACGCTAATAACAATGATAACAACGATACTGATATAAGTCTTATTCACATTACGATATCTGCAAATGCAATCCCTTTGCATTACCAGTATCAAAGTTATTTTAATCATTATTATTGAGAGCAACAGCCAGGACAAAAGTAAAATATTTCGAATGATTATTTGGATGATTAGTACCTTATTATTTCTACCAGTCTCAGCACACATGATCTAGTTTCCCTTACCCTGATCTATTAGCTTAATAATGGACCATTATGGTGAACAGTTTTTTTATGGGACAGTGATTATGTATACGTTGTAAAATGTGCTACCATCTTTAGGTATGAGTTTTCATGTCAGGGTTTTGTACAGTATTCCAGGCTCATATTATTTTAAATATTATTATGGTGATGAAAATAGAAAACGACATAATAAAGATGAAGTCACATGTATTTGTACGACGATAAATTAAAAACTAAACTATGACAACAGATGATATAATCTGTCACATGAAAATGCATAGTGAATTGATAAAAATCGAATATCGAAGGATGTATCCGTTAAACAAATTTAGTCATCAAGAGGAGCACCATAGGAGCGGGAGACCTCTCCACGGGCATTGCGAGCGTCCTCCTCAGCGGCGAAGGCGATTTGGTCGAGGACGAACTGAGGGATCGGGTGGGGGAACTCGGGAGCTACAGGCAGATGGGCGCCCTGAGGCTGGAAACCGCCCTCGTCAGCTACGTACTGAAGGTGGACCTTAGTGCCGTCAGGAGCGGTGTACCTGTCATGGAAAGCAAATCATGTGTAATATAGAAATTGAGAACGACCTAATGATATACCGGCGACTAATTTACAACTTAAGAATCAGACCATATTTCCCAGAGGTAGCACACTATCTAAATCATACTTATGTCATGAACCTCTTTGAAGATTAAGTCTCTTATATGTTCTCCTTGGTATTCCTTTTAATTATGTAATGCATCGTAAGGACTACAATAGTTTGTAGGCTTTGTCTACTCGTATAATTTGATGCAGACTGCTTCCTGCTACGTACGAGAAGGATCCGGCACTGTTGATGGCTCCCTCGTCTCCTGTAGGAGAGCCAGACTCAGACATAACGATTCCGTTGGCAGTCTCCATGTCGAAGTTGTACCTTCCGTCGTCCTCGATCACGCGATCGTCCCTCAAGATGACGATCTCGTCGGAGGCAGCACGAGCCGCTGGGGCATCGTACAGCCGGTCGGCACAGGCCACGGCGACGAGGAGGGTGAAGACGAACTAGAAGGCAAAGAGAATAATGTAGCTTTTTGATTTTCCTCGCAGAGCATTAAAATCAAACAAAGTGAACACCCCCACAGATATGATACAATAGCTGTACTTACGAATTTCATATTGATCGAGTTTATC